TTTAAAATGGAAATACAGCAAGAAGAAGGAAGAGGATCGACAAAACAGAAAACCAAAAAAAACAGAAAAATCCCCCTACTCTGCACCCTACGCCCTGTGCCCCTCCACCCCCACACCCCCTGCTGCACTGAGCTTGCGCCTCGATCACGCCCAGATTCCCTTGCTCTGCGCTCCCTGCCTTGCGCCCCCTATTGCGTTGACTCTGCTGCGCCTTTGTCCCTGCAACCAACCGAGCATGAGACAAACCCGCACCATGTCACTGCCTTGCTTGTAGGATGACATCATGCTCCAGCTTTCTTGGCTGTTCTGCAGGGCCAGTTTTGGCCTCACCCGATCAACGGTGGAAGGAAAAAAAAGAAAAATTGAAGGGTTTGGATGAGGAGAGGAGAGGGGAGTTCAGGGTTTTGTTTGATTTTGTATAAATAGGAAGGGACTTCTGAATTTGGGGGAGGTTTTTCTTTTGGTTGGTTGTTCTCTTGGTCTAAGTTTGGGGTGTTGCTTGAGAACAGCAGTAAGAAGAGGAGGATCGCTGAGCTTCCAAAATTCATCGAGCAAGATTGTGCATTTTTTTTGGGTTTTCATCTTAGGTATTTTCTTGCAACAGAGGAGTCCTTTTGGGAGGCAGTGAAGGGGATGATCTGGACTTGATCTTGTGGGAGGGATCCGCCAGATCGGACTCCGATCTGTTACCCAGAAAGCTCCGCCGTGTTTGTTTCTTCTGTCCTCCTGTTTCTTTTATCTGCTTTCATGATGTTAAGTTGTATATGTTTATCTGAAAATGAATGAGAATCTAAGTTTAACTAAGTTATTGTGTTTTGATGAATGTGCTCTTTCCTTTTGTTGGTAAAAATGTGATTTTTTTTTATATTTTTTATGATGAACGTGTTTGAGAATGATAAACTCTAATGTTAAGTTTCCTTTTTTTATGTTTGATTTGTTTTTCTTTACTTAGAGTGATGGGTTGTGTTTTCGGGTCGGGTCAGTTTAACAAAAAATATATATATAAATGAGTAATAATTAATTAGGTTAATCAATTTAATTTATTATGATTAATGAAATTAATTAATTTTAATTAAAATAAATTAATTATGTTTATAGATTTTAATTTGAGATTATTAGATTTATTTAATGATCTTAATTAAAAGTTGATAAATATGAGTAATTAATTTTAATTAATATCAAATTAATCATTTAATTAAATTAATTATTGTGGTTAATTAACTTAAATCTTTAATTTTCTTTAATCTTGGTCAAAGTCAAAATCATCTCTTTTATTTAAAGTTTTACCCAAAACTTTTATAATTAAGCAATTTAATCCAAAGGTTTCAAATCTTTTCAAATTGGTCCATCATGTTTCGAATTTAATCAAACTAGACCCTTTAATTTTTACTTGTGTTCATTGTGCATGCATATCTTTGATTTTGTCCATTTTACTCCAAAAGTTTAAAATATGTTACAATTTGGTCCATCCATTTTTCAAGCTTACTTATTAAGACTTAAGTAAACAGATAATGAATAAGTTGAATGAAAACCCTAATTTTAAAGTGTGCAACCGTGTTTAGATGGAGGATTGTGAGGTGCGCGTATGCCCTTCCTCACTCCTAACCGAACCCCCTAACCTTGATTTCTACGCAGACCTGTTTTAAATGACTTGTCCCACCTTCTAATTTGGACAAGTGGCGACTCCCTTTTCTTTTATATTTATATTTTCACACTTAATTTTTCATTTATTTTGAAAAATCTTAAGTGGTCATCAACAATGAAAGTTAAAATATAGCACCCTTGGTTGATTTTTAATGGGATTTTAAGTCTTCTAGTTAGCATCAAATGGCACAGTTTTAGGGATCAAGCTTGGCCTCCACGTTTCTACCACCCAACCCTTCTTAGTGAAGTTAGGCAGCATCACCAGCCATCCAAGCTTGGCTGAAGCAAATACCTCACTTTGCCAAGTGGGTAATGTCCATCCATCCATGCCTGCCAAACCACTACTCCCATAGTTTATCTTGAGTAACTCCAATGAGTTTGAATTCATGGGCTTGTGCTTATTTGCAACGAGAACAAGGTAACAGTGAATGTTTATTCAAATGATTAAATGTGAGATGTATAAATATGTGCACCGAAGAAGGGTACTTCTTTGCATATCAAAAGGAATAAGGGGGTGGCCATTGTGGTGCCTTTTTATTTGTTGGCCATAGTGGACATTTGTATAATGCTACGATATCGTTGTTCCAAACCAAGTATCACTGGTCAATGATACCTAAAATTGGGTGAAAAAATTGGGTGATATTTACATTGTTAGACATGACAAGATATTGGGTAGAAAAGATGTAAATAAAAATATTAATTTTATATTTTTTTATTTAAAAATATTAATTTTATTAATTTTTAATCTTTTCACTTAAGAGTTAATTAGATGATGATTCATACATGATAAATGAACTTTTTAAGCAAAATGTTGAAAGTTAATATTTTTAAATAAAAAATTTAAAAGTTAACATCTTTAAATAGAAGCTCAAATTCTCTATTTGTACTTTATACATTATTTTTTCTTGCAGTCAACATTCTTAAGAATTTTTACATTTCAGTCAATATTTTTCATAATCTAAAATTTGTAAAAAATCTAAAATTTAAAAATCAAATCCTATATTTATACCTTAACTTGGTTAATAATTTAAAGTTTTTTTTGTAAGTTT